CAATTTCTTAGGGCTCAACGCGCTGGATTTAGTGGACGAGGACTTGATAGCCGACAGTGATGGGTTCATCAGGAAGGAGAATCGCTCTTCTGCGAGAGCATTGTGTTTGTTCAAGCGGTCCCAGCTTCCTCCGCTGAAGGAGTTGTTCGGGATGAGAAGGAAAGGCATGGGGTATCTGCCAACTCATCTCGGAAAGATGTTCAATGGGCGCATTCTGACCAAGGGGGATTTTCTCGATTGAGCGCCGTGTCTGTTTAGTGTAAGTTATCGCCTTTCTACCAAGGACCTTACTGACTGCAGTTCTCATCAACAGCGATTGTGCCAACAATGGTCTTCATCGTGATTAGTAATTTTGTGACGTTTTTCGTGAATGTATTTGCAGTGGATCTGAAACGTTATGCGTCTTACTGCGTCATGTCAATTAGAATGCTTGGGTATTTATGGTTATTCGGCCGTGTAGTTGAAAGATAGATATGCCTGATGCATTAGTAGCTACGGAGTCATACAGTTCTTCGATTTGTCATTACTCGTACAATGCAGCCAGTGCCGGCAACCTCTGTGAGCTGCAAATTTATGGTCAGGAAGTTTATATGGGAGGCGAGCTTTAGACACACCTTCTCATGCCACCTCAAGAGCACGCTGCCGCTCACATCACCACAGCCCGGCATCCCCAGGGGCCCATACCCTTGTAAAGGTACTTCATCAAAGTGTCCTGCTGAGCATCTTGGGTGTTCTCATCACTTTCGCAGTGCATGATTGCGTAATTGTTCGTGTGGTGTTTGCTTTTTGTGGTCTCTCTAGTGCAATCAATGTTTAGTGGCAGGACCACATGCACGCGCCTGGCTTATTCGACATCCCGAAGAAGCGGGGCAGATTTGGTCTTGACGATAGGATACGGTTCGATTTGCCGATTTGCCGCCACATATTTGGAAGTCCGATCGATGTTTGTTCTCGTGGTGCGACTATTTTTAGTATACCTCAAGTATACTTGTAAATTTGTCACAGGTGTTATGTACTGCATGGAGGCTCGTGCTCGCGTCACTCATAATATCGTCCGTTGCATTCTGCTATTCCTTCTGACATGCTCTCGCAAACCCTCGCTGGTGTTCCCACTTTGTTGCGCGTCCTTTCAGCAGTTTATGTAAGCCTGCTGCTTACTCGATACTTACATAACGCACCACGTGACCGCTCGGATCACTTATATCATCATCCTACGCTCCGAGTATCGTCAGACTCGGGTCTCTTACCTACACCCATCTGCTCTTTGTATCATGCTCATAAAATCCACGGTTTTGTCATATTATTCTCAGTTTGATTCTTTAGTGTTTCCCGCCGATATCACGGCGGGTCTCCAGTTTATATCGTTTCTACTATGAAACACACTGAAATCTACTTCTCACCTTACTATGTGCCAAGTGAATGGTACGACTCAGCGATAAAAGTACAGAGTAGCAAGCCTCACAGGATGCACAATATTCCCTTCAGACTTGGTGTGCTACTTTCGCTGATGACTGACCTTGACGTTGCTAACTTCTTTAGCATGTACAGACTCTCCTGCTAGCATTCTCAAGTCGGCCATCGTTCTCAGCGCTTTGTATAATTACACGTCTATCATGCCAAACATATAAATACCATGGAAATACATGCACGACAAGACCTGGACAACTCGCTTCTTCTCCAACCCCCGTCTTTTCATATGCCTGATTCATCACTGCACTGTAAGCGGGGCTTACTCACAAGGCATGCTAGACAACACCGTGCTTACTGATATGGCATGTTAGATGACACAGTGCTTAGACGTCACTCTCGTTGATTGGACACCATCGGTTGTTTGTTGCTGTTATTGGTTCTGTTGAGACTCCTATTTAACCTAGACTCATATCGCCTGTATCGAGTATCGCATCTTGACCCCGCACAATCCCATACGCTTCTACTCTTAACTTCGTCCGAGTGTTTCTGCCTAAGGGCAGTTTCCATGCACCTACCACTAGGCACATCCTGCTTGCCCTGGCGGTGACTGTGGTCCATGTCAACGAGTATATGCATGTGCGTGTGCATGTCTGTATCTCGTCCGGGTGCTTTACTCTCATAGTTGTGCTTAGCCAGGGCTCCAACAGAATATCGTGGTCGATCCCTCATCAGCAGTTTGATAGGTACGTGTGACACATTTTGATATTTTCTGATACTCCACTTTCCACTCAGTGGACCCCATATTCTTGTCGTGTTCATTCACAAGAAAGAGGTACAATAAAATCATGAGTTTATCCAATTCATTCCTTTCATTCTCCTTGGCCCGTCAGATGGAGGAAATAGTATCTGAGTACCAATGAGTTATCAGCCATCTGGCTTCACAATTTGCAGTTTATATGTCCAGACAGTGGAACACCAACACACAGAATCAGCTGTCAAGGCACTTTTACTGATTTTCATTGTATTTCAACATCGGTCATCAAGGACCAGTTTGGTTGCTAGTCGTTCTGGATAATTTCCCCTTACCACTTGGTGCAAGCATGGGTACTTTGTTCCAGTAGTGATACAACAAGAAATAGCTTTGCCTAGACCTTTTCAAACATACCTCAAAACACCATATGACGCATCCTGCACCAAATTTATCCTCCCTGCAGACCACTCGACAACCATTTCCCTACACAGTACTGCTAGTTGATACATGTACACGCTCCTGGAAAACAATTGAATTCATGCTAGTTTCTGCATCGGAGTATTCCACGAGTTTGGCGTTGTATTCCTGAATGCTCAGGATGATCCCAGCACAAACATCTGCACGACCAATACAATTTCAAGAGTATCATAGAGTATCTGAACTCCAGTAGAATTTGAATTCTACAGAAATGATGAGTAGTGGTTGCGCGCAGATATCAGCAACAGGTCGGTGCACCAAGAGTGCTGGAGAGAAAGTAGCAAGCTGGAAGCAAGAGACACTAACAAAGCTAACATGTGCAGAAATTGAGCAGAAAAGGATAACTGCATTCACATCACAAGCTCACCTTGCAAAATAGAGAACGTGAGATTGTATGAGCACTTTGAAACAATCCCCGATGGTTGATCCTGCTGATGGGCTGAGTCGTTGCAGCTCACGGAAGTGTTTCACAGCCACCCAGACTGAAAGGCACAGTGCGAGGACCTCCCAAACAGTGTTGAGCATCCAAACCATGGAAAGAAGAAACTTGTTATCCCCTCCGTATACATAATTGCACATATATTTGCCAGAGAGGATCAACTCCTCTGGTGTTTGTCCAATGAGCTGTGTTCTTCAAGTTGACAAGTAAAGCTTACCCGCTGGAATATCATAGAGTCCTATTGCCCGATTACTCTGCAAACAATGTTTACAACCAGGAAGATAATAAGAGGGAACATAAGCATCACTCTAGATCCCTGATGCATGGCATTCAACCAAGTAATCATGATCACTTGCACTGTGTATCAGTCAGGTCAATATCACACAGTATTGCACCTGGGTCCCTTACCGCCCAACATGGCAGTCAAGGCCACAATTGTCCCACTTGATGAGTAGTACACGATAGCGCCTAAAACTCGCAATTAATGAACACCCTTGCACTAATTTCAAAGACTCTGACTTACACCTATTGAGTCGTTATGTTGAACCAAGTTTAATGCTTGGAATCTCACTCACCCCTACATATGAGCGCATTGATTGGATGGTAATGAGATGGTTGCAGAATACTTACTGCATCTGTCAGCAATACCGATGGCATAGTTTCTGTGTCTCGCTGGTCAGAAAATGAAACATAGCGCATATGAGACATATGCAGAGCAAAGTTGTTGATCTTGACAGATACACAGAAAATGGTATTCCAATATAGCGTATCTAGAACATTTTGGAGTCAGCACAAGTTGCCCACCACGCTAAAGTACAACATGAGGCACGAACAGTCAAATACAGCACAGTCATGAGAGACCAGTGTTGTCTCCGTCGCAAATTCATTGCATGCTCTTGTTTTCTTCTGATACAGGACTCTCGTCACTCACCCAGATGAGCTCAATCTGAGGCACCATTCTCAGCGAGTTGGCTGCGGCAGTGATAATATTGACGTACCTCTTGTCCAAGTGTTAAGACTGGAAATATCATGAGAATATCAGCGATTTTCGAACACTGTCCTGCTCACCCCAATCGTATGCCACAACGACACCGGCGGCAACTGCAAAACCACAAGTCAACGTTAGATCTAGACATCTTTGATACAACAAACCTGCCCAATAGCTGACAAGAATATTGAAATTGATTTGCGGCCACCAACTTGGATCATTTGAGACGTAGGTCATGTTCCAGGGACCAGGGATGTATGTGAGCAAGTGGGAAAGATTAGTGGTGTATAATGACAGCATTCGTGCTAGATATACCACCATTCAGCATTTCTATCGCCAAAATCAGTATGATGGAGATCTATATCTAATCCCGTATCAAGACCATTGATCTGGTGAAACGGTTCGAAATCACACAACAAGAAGCCCTGGATAATCAAAGTAGACTTTGATTTACAAACCAGTATTACCAATGCAATTACTCGGACACCAGAAAAATCCCAGTGGTTAGTGATATTGCAAACTTATTTCCAATGCCATTTTCGAGGTATTCTGTAAGAAAACATGTAGCCATCGATCTAACCATGATGTGATCGCAACTCACACTGTGTGATTGATACCTGTTAAATATAAGACACCATACATACTAGGTCGAAAGAGGAATCACACATGGGAGACGAGAACCCTGCAACAGGTAAAAAGGATTTCTGATTGTATAGCCTCGGTCAGTGGCCATTGTATTTCCGTGATGTTTTGGAGTGCCGACTTGAGCAGGAGCCGGTACTGGTAAAGGTTGCGAGCTAAAAGCGAGATCCATCAGATAAACTAAGCACGCCATTGTCACTTCGTCATACTCAGCAAATTCATGAGCAGGCTATGAAAGCCGTATCATAGTTGGATGCTCACACATGCACAGCCATCACATACACATCATCACTTTAGAATCCTTGCTCCACCTTCACAGGATGCCAACTTAGATACAAATCCAAAACAGTCACATGTCGCAACATGCAAAAATCGAGGAGCTCTTTATGGAATTTGAAATCTTGTAGCCATTGATCTAACACAGGTTTAAGCATAAACAAGCATATACACCCTTTTCGGCCAGCAAGGCCTCCAATGATGATGATGATGATGGGAAAAGGGCCATTCTGCAGGCATAGCACCAGAGAAGTCAGACAAGAAACAGTGACACAGAGTAGGTTGAAGTGGAGCAACTGTATCTCACCTTATCTGCCACCTTGAACTATTGGGCTATCATGACTATATCAAAACGATGAACAAAGATATGAGGATGGAGCGAATCTGATCTAGAACGCACTATATTGAATGCATCATCATGATGCGCTCAATGATGTATTTCACTGGCAGATACATCGTGATTGATTATTCCTGATTGACATATGTTGAATACCTATACAACATTATCCTCAAATCGAAAGAGAAAGAGAAATTAAGTCCAGCGAAGGGAATATACTACTCACTTGGGGAATAGACGAGCTGCAACTTATGCGTTAAATTTGCGAGAGCTGCTAGTGCTGGCATCAATGTACCTATGAGCAATAGCATACCCATTTCTTCCTCAAGGGTTGAGCATCTAGTGGGGAACATGATAGGCCTATGAAAATGGAATGTAAGTGAACAAAGTTCGTATCATTGAATGGGTACTAACTAGGACTGCTTATATATAAGCCTGACTCACTGGACCGCAAACGAAGCACTGGTCCAAAGAAGCTTATCAAGTTGCAACATTCTTGCATTCTTCAAATTCTAACTGGCTTACCGATGCTCCATATTTGAATCATGACTTCTTTCCATTGTCGCTAAACCCATCTGAGTCAGGCTGGGGATCGGACCATACTCAAGTTCTGGAGCGGTCAAATTATGATGTCCATTGTAGCCTCCTGTGATGGCAATATTTGAGGCGTACTAACAAATAGTTCAAAAGACTAGAGCAAACACTGATCAGACTTCAAAATAATTTGCGGCAAATCAGCAAATCAAACCGTAACTCATCTGTAGGAAATGGGACTAAAGACAAAAGCTCAGAGTTCAGGTAAGAACTGCTGAGGTACGGCGTACGAAGAAGGAAAGATTATAAGGTAATGTTACGTAAGACAAACAAAAACAAATTGAAAGTGACGTCGTTGCACTACAACACACCCCCTGCAATGACAAACTTGTTGCACCCCCTCAAACTGATATAAGTGAAAGTCCATTGCGATGATGCGTGAAAAGTGGCTGTGGAAGTGACTTGGTGAAAATGTCTGCGACATTCTTGTGTGTAGAGAGCCAGACGGGCTCGAACATTCCTTCTTCGATGTGACGTCTGATAAAATGGTATTGCAGGTCAATATGCTTCGTCCGAATATGATTTGCAGCTTCCTTCGACAGTGCGATCGCGCCTGCGTTGTCGGCAAAGAGCTGCAGCAGGAGTGCGAGCGGGATACCAACACACCCGAAGAAGAATTTAAGCCAAAGGCCATCCTGTATCGCGGCGGTCAGTGCCATATACTCGGCCTCCGTCAAGGATAACACGTGAGTCGTTTGCTTTTTCGCGGAATGTGAGATGGGACCCCCATTGTAGAACCAGATGTATCCAGAGATGGAAATCCGGTCTTCTGGACACGAAGCCCAATCCGAATCGCTGAAGCCATGCAGTACAGCATTTATGCCATGGCCTCCGTAGTGAGTTCGCGTGCCGATGGTCCCTGCAAGGTACCTTAGGACATGTTTGGCAGCTGCGTAGTGAGCTGGCTTTGGGGAGGAGTTATGTTGGGCGAGACGCATGATCATGTGAGCGATATCGGGCTGCGTGTACATCATGAGGTAGAGGAGTTCCCCAACGATCTTACGATACTCGGTATCAAGGTCATCAACATGAGCATGCATGTCAGTCGGACGACCAAAAGGGAAGTTAGGGTCCATAGGAAGTGAGACGGGGTTGCATTGGGACATGCCGTGTTCCTGTAGAAGGTAGATAACATAGTCCTCTTGATGCATCCATAGTTCGCGCATCTGACGGTTGCGAACGAATTGGATCCCCAAATCAGTGATCCCGAAGCGAGCAGCTATGTTTGACTTGGTCTGGTCGAGGAACTTGCAATTATTTGCTCCAGCCAGTCCGTCGTCGACGTGCCATGCAATAATGCAGGTGATTCTTACCCCCTCCCTGTTAATGTGGTCAAAGATGAAGACCACATAATCAGCCTCACACCGTAGGAACCCCAAGCTCACAAGTACAGCATGTAGAAGCTTGTATCAGTCATATGCTGCCTGCTTCAAGCCATACAGCGAGGACAGGAGGTGCGCTACCAGACGCTGACCGTCAGGCCCGAAACGTTTGAATCCGGGAGGTTGACACATATAGACGTCTTCCTGGAGTTTCCCCCAGAGGAATGCGTGCCATGCAGTCAAAACAATCTAGCTCCCAGTTGTTAGTGGCGCTGTGAGCTGCCAGCACTCGAATGGATGATGCTTTGGTGACAGGGGCGAACATTTTCCCGAAGTCGACACCGGGTATCTGCGAGAAGCCCTGGGCAACCAACCTGGCCTTAAACACTGGACCCCCTTTAAGGTCATCCTTGAACTCCAAGACCCACCGACAACCAATCGCACGGCGCTCTGACAGCAAAGGTAGGAGCTCATACACCCCCATTTCCGACATCAGGTTGATTTCCTTGTGCATGGCCGTGAGCCAGTGATTGGTGTCAGGGCATCTAATTGCCTCATCATAGGTGGAGGGTGGGACCTTCAGGTTGTACCCAGGTGCCAGTGGATTCCTACAGTGAGTCACTGTGTACCGAGAGGCATGCTAATTCAACGGAGATCAGATTGGCAATCACCTGAGGGAAGCCGATCTCCTCCTCATCCGGAGTGATGGCATCAGCATCGGTCTCCGTCACATGTGACATAGTGGTAGAGTTGGGCATAGAGGTAGAGCTGGGCATAGAATCTGGCATAGTGGAAGATGGCGGTGGAGAAGATAGCTCAGTGGAAGGAGCCAGGGGAGGAGGGACACCTGAGACTTTGGCCACACATATTTCCTACTGGTGTGCAAGGCGTGATTGATCAGCTGCAAGACGACTTTTAAACAGTTCCCCTTCACAGTGGGAACGGGAATTTGGGAGGAGCGACGCACAGTCGGCATCGAGGGTGCTGGTGCAGATGGAGTGGGTACCAGAGGTGCAGGAGGCATGGCAGTTGGACCAATGGTAGTGACCCTCGGTGTAGTCTCCTCTTCGTCGTCATCATTGCTGTCAGGAAAAGGTCGATTACTAAATGACTCGTCAGAGATAACATCTCTGGAGTTGAAGGAAACACCAGTAAGGACATCTCGGCACCTCCACGCCTTCACGCCCGGAGGGTAACCCATGAATATCACCTCACGAGAGTGAGGACCCAACTTTTCCTGAAGTTCGGTGGGAATGCGCGTGAAGCATCACGCACCGCAAACACGTAGATGAGTTAAAGTGGGCTGGGACCCGTTTTGCATCTCGAAGGGGGTCTTTTCTGGCAGCAGTGCACGCGACTCTGACCTATTGAATAGGTAAGCCACAGTGAGTGCAGCTTCTCCCCACAACGTCCGGGGAAGATGTGCATGGTCGAGCATCGCATACATGCATCCCTCAATCATTCGCATGACACGCTCTGCTTTACCATTCTGCTGGTGTGCGTATGGCGCCGACCTTTGACGTTGAATACCTGCAGACTCGAGCGACAAGGTAAAGGCATCGTTGATGAATTCTCCTTCGTTATCTGAGCGGAATGTCTTCACTCGGAGACCAGGACATGTTCTCCCATTTGGCCTTTACCATGGTCCACGCACTCAATGCTTGATCCTTAGACACTAGGAGTTGAAGATTCAGAACGTGAGTGTGATCATCGAGAAATACGATGAAATAGTGTTTCAAGTGTGGCGTAAGCACAGGAATTGGTCTGCAAAGATCTGAGTGGATGAGTTCGAGGAATTTGGATGCACGCTCTGTCTCAGACGAGTGAAATGGAAGGTGAGGGTGCTTGGCCATGATGCACGATTTGCATGTTGATAGCAGGAGGTTGGAGTCGACAGCTACGCCCTTCGCAACACTGCTGAGACGTGAGACGGTGTTTCGGCCAAGGTGTCCTAAGTGAGCATGCCAGAGATCAAGAGTGAGAGGTGTTTGAATGAATGCAGTGATCTCGGGCTCTATAGGGAGGGGAGCAGGAAGCTCAGTGAAGGGAATAAAGTCTACTTCTATGGCATATAGCTTTCCCATCGCTGGAATGGCCCCCAGCATGTCACCTTTGTAACCGAGTTCGCAAGTCATGTTTGCCTTAAAGTTCATGTCCCAACCTTTGGTGTTCATGCAGGATACGGAGAGCAGATTCAGCATCGCACTCGGTGCATGCAGACAATTGGAGAGTTTGACACGCAAACGACGTGTTCTGATATTCATCCAGCCTATACACATTCCCCTCCCCATGGTTCGAAGTACGCCGTGATTTGCCGTGCGAACCGGCACTGAATCCTCCGTTGAATATGTGTGGAAGAAACAGCGATCTTCAACCAGTGTGACGGTAGTTCTGGAATTGAGGATAGTGGAAAAGGGGAGTGGTGCCATGCAGGAGACCTCATCAGCAATTTCGCTGATGGATGTGAAGGAGACATCCTGGTAGATACTGGTGACTGCAGCTGCTATGGTGGGAGTGGGTGCCGTGGATGGTGCTGTAGGTGCTGGAGGTGTGATGACGGCTGCGGCTGTGGGAGTGTCCTTGTGAGTCTTCCCCCACATCCATGGAGCTTGGCCTTCCATCCCCCCGCCTTTCCCATAGCAGTGTGCATGGTCATGATCTCCTTTATTACAGCCAGGAGTCATACAAAACACACTGTCTGGATTGTGTCAATGCTTACGTAGACCTGTGATGGAGTTGACGTTGGAACCACCCGTATTGGGTGCGGAGACAGCATTTGCATATTCGGACCCCGGACGAGCAGAATGAATAGCACGAGCGTGCACATGACGCACTGCTTCTGCGGTGATGTGGGACATGCAACTGTCAACTGTGAACATTAGAGGATTAGTTGCAGTTGTGGTCATGATTTCGTCATGCATGCGCTGTTCCACCATCAATTTGAATTGTTGCCAGATGGCGGTCTGAGGTAGTCCGATAAGTAGACTGTAGATAGCGTCACTGTCCCTGAGAGGGGCTCCTGTGTCACTTAGCCATTCATGCAAGACAGCATGCTGACTGATGTAGTTCGTAGTGTCAGCTGAATCTTTCATGCGAAGTGAATCAAGGCATTGGCGTAATTGATATTGTGCGCTTGTGTCGGTTCTGTTAAAATGCTCCGCAAGCGTCTGCCACGCTTTGCGAGCTGTGACAGCATGCGCCCGTGACACTAGTGCATCAACTGACGGACTAAGACGACACATGATGAGATCCTTCGCCTTGATGTTGTTTAACAGCCATGCACACATCGCTGCTGTTTCAGCAGCCATGACATTGGCAGGATCGGCAGGAGCTGGTAACATGGACAGTGTCCTGAGGAGGTCTGCAGGGTTTACAATTGTATTAACATGGCACCATAAATTCCTCGCACACGAGGGCATATTGCATTTTGGTTGACC